ACTCTTTTCTTCTCTTTTTGCAATTTTCTGCCTGAGATCAGGTGACGATGTTGCTGTAAGCAATTCTGCATGATTTGTTTATAGAATGCATACCTCAGAGCCAGAAAAACACCCCGAATTTGACAAGGCCATACTCCGTGCAGATAGTTTTTTGTGAACGAGACAATTTTTCTCGACAGCTTTCAGCCGGGTAAAATAAAACACGATCACACGTTTAAGGCCAGCTCAGAGCAAAGGGCGGCATAACGCAAAGGGTTAGGCGGTATAAACAACGTGGAATGGCCGATCTGAGTTAGAATTTCCCAGAATTGGATAAGAATGATAATTTTTTTCACAGCCTTTATGACCGCTCCTTGTGAATACTTTGGCACAGTTTGACAGAGGTTTTTGTGAGGGGTCGTGCCGTTTTAGCATTGTTTACTCTATGCTTGCGAGTATTTTTCCGGGTCGAACTACTTCATTCACGTTTCTCTCGGACAAATGCACTGACCGATATACGATGGTCTTCCTCTTCGCGGGATCAACCCACCGAATATATTTTCCGATAAAGCAACCAACAAGGGAAAATATCGTTGGCGCCGAAAACACTCTTATCTAGATTGACAGATGCTCTATCCAAGCGCATATACTCGAGCACCAATCGCAAGTGTTCAATGCGGTTTTCCGCATCCGAATTTTCGTATCCTGCACGGCTATGAACAAAAAATCGTGCATAGCCATGATGCGACCTGAACAGTTGGGTCATCAGAGGACTGAACACGCTGATGTATGAGGCATTCCCTGTGTTCTAATCAGCCATACCAAATCATATCGCTCTAAGCGCTTATCGGTATCGTTCTATCATTTGCGGATGACAATAACAATCTGCTTAGGTGAGCGCATTTAACAAATTGCAGCCGATCATGCTGTTCTGCACCACATCCTTAAAAAATAGCGTTTTTCTTGAAATAATAAATGCATTTGATCATACTAGCGTATGCACAATCTGTATCAGGAAGTCGGCGCTTTTTTTGGTAGTATACTCTCTCACACACAACCCGCTTTGCGATGTGTACAAAAGAAAGTGTCAACGACGTTTCACTGATTATTTACAAAGCGCCATCGCTGTGTGATGAGATATTTTCTTTTGGGAAATAAGTAAATTTCATGATGCACTCCCCTATCCGGACGATGCTCGCGCGATGGATCTTGCGTCGCTACGTTGTTTTATTTCTTCCATAATACGTGATGTGGATTTGCAGGATCCTTCAAAATTACTGATATAAACCTTGTACTTGTACTTTGCGAGTGTCCTCAGTGAAAGATTCATATATGACGGATGAAGAGCTCAGCCATACTCCAGTACCAGCCCCGTACCACTTCGGTGGATTCCTCCTCGTGAACTTTTAAATACAATATCGAACTCACACTTCCTTTAGCTTTGATAGATTTTTGCCGCATGAACCGAGCGAGGGTTTACTAACAAGCTCTAGGACTACCTTTGTCATTTCCTCCACGAATGATTTACTATCACTTTCTGCGTGCCCATCGCGTGAAAGTGCTGTCACAACCGTATGATCACATCGCAGTAAAAATAGGCCACCCTTCTTGTCTTAAATTCCTGGTCCTATCACTCGCGGCTTCTTTTCGCCCTTCAACTCAGTACGATGGCAGCCAGGTCTTTCTGTAGGCTGCTTTGTGCCTTGTGGGACTTGACATCTTCTCTAGGTTTGCCGACCGGGGCACGCAATGCACTAATTTTTCGTACTTTCAGCGATAAAGCATTCGCAGGTAGTTCAGCAGGTAAGATATCTTTCTTCTCTCCGCAGCATGGATGAAGTTCATTGCCGTTGGTGCGCTCATAGGAATTTAATTTTCAGTATCCCATCCGGCCCTTGCGGTACGGAAGTTGTGTTCCACATTGAATGCGACGCCCACCGCTTTTTTGAAAGAGGCTGATTGTAGCGAATTGTCTTGGGTACGCCTCATCGGATTGAAAATATCCCATCGCGATGACAGATGTTACCACCTTCAGCAGAGGTTCAATCGCAACTGCGACGATATGAAGTCATAGTACCTGGACATAGGGGGGTCCAACGTTTTAAAATTTAAAACTTTACTTCGTCCAGCCTTCAAATGCCTGGATGATCGGCATCAATGGCCTAACGGTTAAAGCCACCAGTTCTCCCCCGCCCTCGGGTTGGGCGTTCCTCACCAGAGCCCACAAAGCTAGTGGGTACCGCCAAAACGGTAATTCTGACATCTTGCCAGGCATCTTGACGCATGATACACATACACTTTTAAAGCTGATCTTTTTGCCCAGGGATAGGTACACCACACAAACGTTAGATTCGTTCATTCTTACTAGGAGCGGAACCGAGAGCTTCTAAGTTAACTTACAGGGTTAGTCATCTTCGCTAATTCAGGAGTACATAAATACAAGATGTATCCTGTTTATCCAACAAAGCTCACTTGGTAGTTAAACGAGCAGGTATGTCCCACGGATGTCGTCTTTCTAAAGTTCCGACACGTTCACGCATACCGCTATTCCGATACTTGTGTATGTGCACAATGACCTTATGTGTTATGTGAGTTTTAAATCATTGTACATTTTTTTATAGTACTGTACCAGATGTGTTGGTGTTACGTCCATAAGCTTCAAAGGCGTCGCATACTTAGTGTGAAGCCGACGAGCCTGTTTTTGGAATTGACGGCTTTTTCGCGTCTAGGCTGCAGTCGTAAAAATGGCTGTAGGCTGAGCTGGATTCTATCATCATTGTCAGCAGGAAGTCTTTATGTACGAAATCCCGTTCAAGCATATCATCAAGCTGTGTATCATCGACTGTAATTATCCAGTCGTTTGTGTAAGTGGGCCCCGTCAGCGAAAATATGCATTGATTTTGATCGTTTGCTGAGAAGATCAAGTTAAGCTTAGCAGCCTCCAAGCTGTATATCCCCGCAATAGGCTCGCACTTATTAGCAGATTTAAAAAAAGTGTCGTTTATAGATGGAAAACCGCGTTTTCATTCATCATGGCATCAGAGGTTGCTTCGTTTTCCGTCAAATATTGAGAAGTATAAAGACAGGGCAGGGCAATCGGTAAATCATACACTAAACGGGCAAACACAAACAAAATATTACAAAAAATTAGGATAAAATAAGCGTCAACATGGGCTTTTCTTTCAAATGAACGAATATTAAGCAAATGCAATCAGTAAAGTGCGCTCAAAGATGTCCACCTGTAAAATTTGTCCCAAAACAGGTCTGACAACACTAAATTCTCCTCTGCCTTCCATCCATATACTTAGTCTGAATCATAAGTCATTCATCTACACGGTAATTACAAGGTGACGAGAAATTGAGGTACACAGACCTTTGTATTATGCTCTTTTTAATATATTGAGGCAATAGATACTCATTGGTATAGAGGATGTGTCTTCCAGAGAATTTCTCGTGTGTAATATCTTTGTGGGTAGGCTCCTAGCTTACCAGAAGGTACGGGTGCCGAGATCTTATACTTTAATCTCATTCTTGAAGCTCTACGGTTGCATGAGATGACGATACTCTAAATTTTTTTCGACAATTTGGGTTTTCTCGGGCCGATAAATATTATCGTACAGTGCTATCGATATCACAAAATAATGCTGTAGTACCACGATATACTCATTTAGTTGTTATGCCGTTGCTCAGGCATCTTCATAAAGTTACCAATACAGTTGCCACGCGGCAATTCTGTAAAACGTCCAGACGCACATTTTCAGATCGTCAGTGATCACATTTGTCGTTTTAAAAGCATAAGACGATGTCATGGATCGATATGATGGACGTATTTAAGCGTATTTCTGGGCAGTAATAAACCCAGATATTTCAAAAGCCAGCATCCTTTTCAGAAAAAAAAGCTTGGCTCTGGTCAAAGAAACAACATTGACAGACGGACTTCCAACCGATCCTAACAGTACTTTTTCCTGCACTACGTCCATTCTGATGAATAGATGATGATCTACAATGTCCCACTGTACACTCTGCATATAAACTGGTCACGACGAAGGTCGGAAGGACGATCATCGTCGAGACATCGTTTTGATGCCTTAGTGCACATCCTCCTCCGATGCTTTGCGCACCTTTCCTGGCGCTTACCTCCAATTTGGGTCGCGCCACAACGGCGCAACAACAAGCTCCGATGCACTAATGAGACCTTTAGACGTTCGCTTCAACATCATTTCTTCATTCGCCACATAAATCGCAAGCTAGTATGGAAGACGAGTATCAGCTATCGGCTATGCTACCAACGGCTGGATATCTCTTCGCCGAGGAGCTGGATGCACACTTTCTTGCACTCGACGACTTCCACTCGATGCTGCTTCGGGACGAATGCTCAAAGGTGTCAGTCTTAGACAGCTCGTTCAACTTGAGCTGTTCAACACCAACGGCTGCACCAAATTCTCCTTCCTCGGTGGTGTTTTTGCCCCCATTCTACCCACCACTTGAGGGCTTCGACGACCTCAAAGAATACATGAAGGAGGAAGGTACATTCTCAGATTACTACACTAGAGAATGCATCACTACAAACAATCTAGAGCATATGGAATTTGACCTTCGACCCTCCACACGAGGTGGTCAAGAAGACTCAGTGAGCGATGAGGACAAGGAACGACTTAGACAGCGCCAACGAGGCTATGAAAAACGTTACCGTGGTCGTAAAAGGGTGAGTTTTATTGTTTGCTATCAAGTTATACTAGCACAAGTTGAGACTTACGTTTCTTGCTCAAATTTTAGCGAGACCTCAAGATACAACGCGATGCGTGGTTAGCTCTTGAAATGAAGCTAGACGCTGATCGTAAGAAGCGCTGCAAACCCTATATTCGCATCGAAAAGCCTGGCCAAGATACATTACGCCACAAATTGCTATTACTCAAGCTGGAGGAGCACGCTTTACGTCATGACCACGTAGCCATGCGCTCACTCCAAGCGTGGGAGGAGATCTCACGAATTCGCGAATACTCGGACAAAGAGCAATTACGTTCAATGAGTGAGTGGCGTCATAGCGCAGACAAAGTTATCGGCCGCTGCGCTGTTCTCGGATCTGAACATTTTCACCCATACGCCCCAATGGAACAGCGTCACTTTTCTTGGTGACAAATCTTACTGATTGTCAACCATGACGCCAGAACTGCATTCCTCTTCTTAACAGAAATACCATAAGTTATAACATTAACTAAACGAAGTGTATGTACTACAGCAAACATATGACTACCTCCTTATCCAAGAGTGCTTCCCTTCAGAACATAGACATGCTCAAAGTTGTAAGCAATTCATATTGATGTAACTAAAATGCTAAATTCAGTTTTTGTAAGACCACAAAAAATATATATCATCTCTAGATATATTTGTAATTTGGACTGGTATAGTATGATTGAGATCAGAGAAAAGCTAAGATTCGTGCCTTCTTCATTGCATCTTGCTCAAAGAACATTCAACTCGCTGCTAACAAGAATCATTTGCTGTCGTGATACAATGGCTACATGATTCGGACACTCTACCCGAATGTTCCGCGAGTGAGAGCTGACTCGCACCCTTTCCCGCGTAATAATCCATGAAAGACGCTGTACATGTTCAGTTTCTACAATTTGTTATATTAGAAAAATAATTTGTTTAGCTTGACATGGTAGGAGCAAATGCATCGTGTACCTTTGCGCATCCCTTAAACTGCTCGACTAATAACCAACTGTTCAGGTGCAAAGTTCACATGCTGGGGACTGAATGTCCACCACTGGGCGACAACTTTGCAGAAAAGCCTGGAAGCGTCTGATGTAGCTCAAGTCGAGCAAACGTCGTTTGTGGTTGATTAAACACTACGACATTTCGCTTTGTTGATAGTAATTTGACGACGCATCGAACTAGCGCTTGCAGAGATCAAAATTGCTGTTTAGCATAAGGAGTCATCCATCATCTTGTAATGCTGTGATTTGTGAAGTCACATAGACCTGTCTTTGCGACTAATGCGGTCTTTTGGATACTGTACTATACTGTATGTAATACATTCAACGTACATGTACCTTGAACACACAAAACTATGATGTACCCTCACCAGCAGTGTCTTCTCGACGCTGACAAGTCGGTCGTGGCTCCTGAACACTGCATATCGTACAGTACAGTAGAAAAAATAAGGCCAGTCATACAATTGCAGCCATCTCCATTGGTAAAGAGCTCACCTTTGTTTACGAAGACACCCCCAGATTCTGTCAACTTTCGGTCAGCGATAAGCAAACCTTTGGCATCATTATAAAATTATCACGCTGCGAACGAGATCGACATGAGTGACCACGACTTGAACCATGTCGTAGTGTGTAGTTTTATTAGTGAGCTGAGTCTCGATGAGATAATGCAGTTCGATCCAAGAGCAGATTCCTTAGACAAGTGGAGCTGCATCTTCAACGACGATCACGAAATGACGGCCGAGTCCTCTATTGCAGGGACCACGTCGGACGAATTTAGCGACTACGAAGACTCACAACCTATAGTCGAAATAAAGGAGCGCCCTTTTAAAAAAATCAAGAAGCCAAAGACAGAGCTCCAACGAAAGCTTCAGCAAGTGTACGACAAGAAGAGTCGAAACAACAAGCGGGTACGTACAAATATGTACCTGTATAATACAGAAAGCTTTGCTAAAATTTAATCTACTATTAGGCGAGGCATCATGCGATGAGCGGATCATTTGTCCCAGTGCTCAAGGAATTTGTGGAATTAGTTCATTACCGCATCATGAAGACAGAAAATCAAATTAACTTGCTGTGCCTTGCCAAGAAAGCAGGTTCAAGTATATCAAATAATGTCACGGCTCAGCGGCAGCTGGATTTGAACCATGGAGCTCTAAAATGCATTCAGTCAACTGCTGAGGATTGGCGAAAGCGGAAGAGCGGAGAATCGGGTAGATGCTTTTTGAAGAATCTAAGCATTGAGATTCAGCTTTTACTGGAGAACCTACAGACACTTGGTGATCAGCTAAGAGTAGCAACGAACGAGCTACAATGGCGATTAGAGGACACGACCATTGGTGTGTGGGTTTGAATGAAGACAAAAATAGTTGGAGTCCTGTAGTAATTGGTAGTCTACTGTAAAACTAATTCGTGAGCCCACCTTATAATATACTTGAAGGAAAGTGGATGCTTTAAATTGAAGATTATTCTCAACCTTTATTTGAAAAATAGCATGTTCTTTAAATAATGAAATTGATAGTATGACCATTTTCTTGCTTATCAACTTTAGTTGCCATGGTCATAGAAATTACCAATCTTCTTTGAATGATAAACTAGTTTCTGGTCCGTCTACACTTCTCATTCGATTAGATAGAAGCAATGTTCTTACAAATTAGATGTTATATTTTGTGAAACAAGCTCGCGACACATTAACAACCTTGCACCTTCTACCATGAGAAGTAAAGTGGCCAAAGATCAAGCTTATCCAATAAGAAAGAACCGACTGTCGTATGGATTTAGAATGGAGCCAAACCAGTGATAGACCTAGAGATTAATAATATTGGATGAGAAGTGCAACCATTAAGCCACAAAAAAATAAACCTGAAGTATTTTCATGAGCGGACGCGAATTAAGGACGAATCTAGAAAGTTTCACAACGATATTCGAGCAAAGCTCGTCGGTTCGGAGATGATGGAGGTTTTCGATCTAAATGCAGATGTTTTTTACTGCACATCTCTGCTACAGTGGCTTCAATAAACAGGGTGACAACTCTGCGATGTCGGTCACTGCTTCCCGAAAAGCGAGTCAAGTCGACCCTCTTGCAATGCAAATACTATAATACGATAAATGCTGTATAGGAGTCCTACGTGATAGGACTCTATTCAGTAATCAACAGATTTCGCATAAAAAGATTCCGATACAAGACATCGACAAAGTATTGGAGAGAAGGTACAAAAAATGAAAAACAGGGTTCCAAAGAGCAAAGACGAATGGAATTATTATCATGCTCTATTTTGGCTGGTGACTCACGATCGTACGATTTGGAGTAAGTGTGGAGGTAGCCAAGAAAGGTCTTTTGCTATTTATGATCGATAACTGTGCATAGACACGCAGCGTACATACCGACAACCTTTCATTACCAACATATGGTGTGCAAGAGCGATGACATCGAAACAAACTTTGTAGGCAGCAATCATTTGTAACAATATTTCTAGTCTGAGCGACTTTCTGCGTCAGTTTGTACATATTGTTGCAGAGAAATGACCTATTATAGCTTTGGTCTACTCCAGCTATTATAATTTATAGCTGCTATGCATAGTACAGTGAGGCTATCTCATATCCATTCATTTCCCATTCAGAACATGCATAATCAAATCACCTTTGTATTGCTGAGTCAGAATGCAGCCGTTCATAACATCAGGTTCATGTTGTTGGACCCCACCACAGTTTTATGGGTTCCTTTTTGGAATTAGAAGCCGTATCAGTACTCTTAGCTTCACGATTCACTTCAAACAACTTCGGGGGAATGCACCATATGTACACGATGATTATGAGCAATTAACATTTATTTGATGTCACTTCCACTCTTTTATATCAAAGGGTACGATTTCTAGCCTGATTGGATAGTCGAAACTTGATGTCGAGCTATCGAAGTTTTGAACAGTCTAATCAACTTCTGGCTCTAAGAGGATAGCACCAAACCTTCGAATAATATCATGATGGTCATCTTAAAAGATATTGCGGTTGAGTTGTTCTGTGTATAAAATACTGAGGCGCAATCCTACTGATTTGTTGGTTCGTGTCACGAAAATACAATCGACAAAGATCTGTATACTTTTTTCGCTTCTCTCAAGCAGGGTGGATGTTGATTTATCGGTAAAAACTGATGTGTTAAAGTTTTTTATGATCCTGTGGCTGAGTCCTTATGTTGCCTCAGATATGCCAAATCACTCTGCCGTATTCAAGTACGATCTGGTCTTTAAGCCATAAAAAGAACGAGGGGACGTGAGCTCTGGCTAGGAGCCTCACCATGAACCCTTTGTCCGTGTAACGAAAAAAAAATCTTTTTGAGGGGATAAAAATTAGAAATCGCGAAAATGGAGCCGCCACACCGTTACCACTAGACTAATTGGAGTTCTTACCTGCAAGACAAAATGTACTTTATGTATGAAAATTAGACATACAGCTGCAACATCGTCTTTCGAGAGCATTGAGTGTCGAAGTATCGCCACTTCCTCTCATCTTTAGTGCTTGTTGCTCCTTAGCACCGTTTTAGTCTTGATACACACTGCCTCGCGAATAAACGTATCCACTTTGGCCCCGTCTGCCTTCGTGAGCATGTCCGCAGGCTGACGCTTCGTGTCAATGTAGTCAACTTCGAGGTTTTTTCTTACACGTTTTTGTGGATAAAGTCGTAATGATGTCTACCTGCTTTGACCGAAAATGGAACTTAACGTTTTTGATTAAAGCGGTCCTTTGATATTTTCCAAACTTGTGTTATTTTACTGCTCATGTGACGGGTCACACGGCACCTTGCACAGAGGAAGCTTGACTTCCAAGAGTATAC